AATTTTCTTTATTAACTAGTGATTTTAGTGGTATCAATTTTGAGTTTATTAACTGAGATGCCTTAAAATATGCCTGATTTTCAGAAAGTGCTGAGCACCCATCCTCTGAGAATCAGGCCTCTCGTATTGATTTATAGATTCCAAGGCAGAAGGAACCATTGTGATCATCTAGTCTGACCTCCTATATAACACAGCTCATGGAACTGCCCCAAAATAATTCCTACAGCAGAGCTTTTAGCAAAACATCCAAACTTGATTTAAAAAATGTCAGTGATGGAGAATCCACCACGACCTTTAGTAAATTGTTCCAGTGGTTAATTACCCTCACTGTCAAATATCTGTGCCTTATTTCCAGTCTGAATTCATCTAGGTTCAACTTCCAGCCACTGGATTGTGTTATGCCTTTCTCTGCTAGGTTGAAAAGCCCATTATTAAATATTTTTCCCCATGTAGATACTTACAGACTGTAATCAAGTGACACCTTACCATTCTCTTTGTTAAGCTAAATAGATTGAACACTTTGAGTCTGTCACTATAAGGCAAGTTTTCTAATCCTTTAATCATTCTTGTGACTCTTCTCTGAACCCTCTCCAATTTACAACATTCTCTTCACAAAAAGAAAAGGAGGACTTGTGGCACCTTAGAGACTAACCAATTTATTTGAGCATAAGCTTTCGTGAGCTACAGCTCACTTCATCGGATGCATACTGTGGAAAGTGTAGAAGATCTTTTTATATACACACAAAGCATGAAAAAATACCTCCTCCCACCCCACTCTCCTGCTGCTAATAGCTTATCTAAAGTGGTCACTCTCCTTACAATGTGTATGATAATCAAGTTGGGCCATTTCCAGCACAAATCCAGGTTTTCTCACCCCCCCCCCCCCACAAACCCACTGTCCTGCTGGGTTTGTGAGGGTTTGTGGGGGGGGGGGGTGCGGGGGGTGAGAAAACCTGGATTTGTGCTGGAAATGGCCCAACTTGATTATCATACACATTGTAAGGAGAGCGATCACTTTAGATAAGCTATTAGCAGCAGGAGAGTGGGGTGGGAGGAGGTATTTTTTCATGCTTTGTGTGTATATAAAAAGATCTTCTACACTTTCCACAGTATGCATCCGATGAAGTGAGCTGTAGCTCACGAAAGCTTATGCTCAAATAAATTGGTTAGTCTCTAAGGTGCCACAAGTCCTCCTTTTCTTTTTGCGAATACAGACTAACACGGCTGTTACTCTGAAACCATTCTCTTCACAGTGACTTATGTTGGGCATCCCATTGCTTTTGAAAATGTTAGCCTATAGGTATGTATAGAGCTCAGAAGGTCCACTATTTGTATCATAATGTCTCATGAATATGGCTCTGCAGCTAGATCATGGGCTCAAAGAGCAACACAGAGTAGTTCTTTGTCCTAGTAAGTGAAATATCCTGGAATACATGCATTTATGTGCCTAATTTATGCATGCAATTGCAGTATGTGCACAAAGCGAACAGTTGCAAGTGGCCCAATTTAGTCAATGGCCACCTGCTTTATGCTAAGCCCTAGTAACTGCGTGTGCAAATTAGACATGCATTGGAACCTACATTTGTGTATCAATTTGATTAGCTTGAGTTTATGAAAATCAGGTTCCATGATAATAAAATGAACATCATTTCAAATGTCTCCTGCCCGTACCCCGTTGACGTAGCCTTAACATGAAACTATCCAGGCATTAAAAATAACAGCCAGCACCATCAACACTGAGTAGGGGACTGGGGCTCTGTATCACTTAGGCAGCTCTGGGAAAAATCTCAGCCTCAAGTCCCAGTGAGATGCACACACTCTGCACCCCTGACAATCTAGGCGTGTTTAGCCAGTCTTACCACCTGACAGCCTTCAATCTGTCCCATTTGAAGTCAGTGGCAAAATGATAGGGGAAGTGACTGGGAACAGGATCGAGCCCCCTATCACTTGTGTGCAGTTGCCTTTGTTTGTACTTCTGTTGGTTCTGAAAAGCGCTTTAAAAAAATCTATTAGAACAGAACAATGGGGGAGAGACAGTACAAAACAAATGCAAAAATCCAACAGCTGTGCATGAAACTGTTGAGAGCCATGTTTATACAAGGCCAGGGACGGGGAGTCATGGTGCTTCAGATCTAAAATGACTGTTCCCTCTCCTAGGGAGCTCAGTCACTCACAATCTAACCCTGCAGGGTTTTGTTCTGTGCCAGGTGAGCTGGCTGTGTTGGTCCATTACAGGAACCCCGGTAACAATCTCCTTCTGACATATAAAGGTTCCATTAATACCTTCCCACTTGTTCCTTTGCTTTTGGCCAATTTCCCGTGCATTAAGCCATTAAGCCATTCATTTTTTCTGGGACTCCCCACCTTGATCATTAACCTTCTCCGTGGAGCCTTGTCCAGTGTTCTCTCCATGTCTAAATAGGCGATGCCCGTTTTGCTCACTCGGACTGCTCTTGCTCCATAAAATTAGCCACACAGCCTTCCTTCCCCCAGACGGCATCGGCCCTCCTTACTGTGCTTTCACATTTGATCCCTTAAACACTATCTAACACTTCCCCCACAGATGACATTGAAACTAATTGGCCTGTAATTTCCTATGGCATCTCTAGAACCTTTTCAGTCATTTCTATGTCAGTGACTTTCCCATCTTCAAGGGCTTCACCTGAATTTAGCGGCAAGGTGATTCAATTTAATGAAGTTTTGCATTTGGGCTCTGACAGTATAAGCCCACTGCCTTAGTTGTTTGTTTCTAGCTGTGGGGGGGGGGGGGCAGGGGGGATCCACAAAGGGACTTTGGCATTGCAACACTGAGCATCATAGTGCCTAACAGCACGGCAATCCACAAAGCCGAGTTAGGCATCCAGGCTCCCTATACGATGAATGTGGAGAGTCGGGCATCTTTGAATGCCTCCTGGAGTCAGGTGGGTTATAACTTTTATCCCAGTGGTTAGAGCACTCAACTGGGATGCGGGAGACCCAGGGTCAATTCCCCCTTCTTTGCCCAAGAGGGAGAAATTATTTGAACCCTTCTCAGGAGAGTGAGCTTTGGGATATTCTGATGGGGGATGCCCTCAATCTCTCCTGCTGAAGCTGTTCCACTAGGGATAAATAATGAAACCACTGGACTACAGGTTCAGAGTAGCAGCTGTGTTAGTCTGTATCTGCAAAAAGAAAAGGAGGACTTGTGGCACCTTAGAGACTAACAAATTTATCTGAGCATAAGCTTTCTCGTGAGCTACAGCTCACTTCATCGGAGCATCCGATGAAGTGAGCTGTAGCTGACGAAAGCTTATGCTCAAATAAATTTGTTAGTCTCTAAGGTGCCACAAGTCCTCCTTTTCCTTTTACTGGACTACAGTGTCTCTTTCACCCAATGACTTCCTCTGTGTCACTGGGCCTGAGACAGAGGGAGAGAGAATGTGAATGATTCTATAGTCCAGTGCTTAGGGCACACACCCGAGAGGTGGAAGACCCTGAGTCCGCTCCCCCTACTCTTTTATGCGTTATTCACAGTGGAACAGCTTCAACAAGAGAGATTGAGGACTGCCACATCAGACTATCCCATAGCTCAGTGGTAAGAGGATTCTTCTGGGAGGTGGGGAGCCCCCTGGTCAAATCCTTTCTCCCCCTCTGGCAGAGAGGGGGGGAATTGAATCTTGGTCTTTGGCATCCCAGGCAAGTGCACTAACCACAGAATTATGGGATATTCTATAGGTAGCTATCTAAATCAGTAACTTAAATCAAGCTTGACTCAGTGGTTATACACTAGACCTTGGCCTCGTCTTTGCACAGGAGTTGTACTTCTCTAACTACGTCAGTATTCCTGTATGGGGCCGGGGAAATGCTACATAGAAGGCACATGTATACCAGTATAACTGCATCCGCTCTAGGGGTTGTACTATAACTCTGGCTACGTCAACGCTAGGAGCTAGAGGTGTGATTCCCAGCTGCCATAGGCATACTTGTGCTAGCTCTCGGTTGAGCTAGCTGCGGTAACATGGGCAATGACGGTACTGTGGTCGCCTCCTTGAGTACAAACCCACCTGAACTCCAGGGCTGTTAGCACATGTTACAGCTGCCCCTGCTACCACACCTATGCTACTGTGTTTAGCATAAGTTTGTCTATGGGGATCACTGCCTGAGCTCATCATGTAGACATAGCCAATATGGGTAAAAAAAAAATCATCACATCTCTATCCAAAATAGTTATACTGGTACAAAACCTAGGTGCAGACTAGAACAAAGCGCTATCATCTGTCCATTCCCTGGTCTGCATAAAATGAGCTTGGCAAGCTCTGGTCACTTTCTCTTAGGCAGGTCTCCATGTCACAGCTAGCTTAGGCCCTGTCTTCACTGCTAACAAAGGTGTGTTTTTATGTTGGGGTAACTGACGCATGTGAACAATCCTGAGGTAAAAACACAGTGATTACATGTTTACTGTGAGGTAAACTAAGTGAGGTCAGCACTATCCCCTCACTCATTGTTCACCTTGCCTAATTTCCCCTATGGTAAACTTGTCATCACTGTGTTTTTACCTCAGGATTGTTCACATGTGTTAGTTACCCCAACATAAAAACACACCTTTGTTAGCTGGGAAGACAAAGCCTTACTTAGCTTCCAAGAACTAACAAGGCACAGAGAAAACTATCCACTGACTAGTGCTGGTCAAAACATTTTTAATTGAAAAATAATTTTGACCAAAAATGGCATTTCATCAAAAATGAAACATTTTGTGGAAAATTTTCATTTTAAACGAAATTCTGAATTTTTGGCCAAAAAACTTGAAAGTTTTCATCAATTTTGTTTAACCAAAACCAGTTTTTGGAGACCAAAAATTGAATGGGAAAAATGTCTTTAGTTGGGGTGGGATGTCATTAATATATATATATATATATATATATATATTCATTTGAAATTTGGACAAAATTTTTAAAAAATGGAAATTTCTTGTGGAAAAATAATTGCCATTTTCCAACCAGCTCTGACTCTGAAGCCTTGAAATGGCCCCTCCAATTCAGGGTTGAGCCTATTGGCAGGCTGCAGTGGGAAGTGAGGGCTGCACTGTTCTCATAAAGTACCTTCTCCGAAGACAGAAGGCTTCAGGCTCTCAGGTCAGAACATTTAATTAATTTTTTAAAAAATAAAATAGGATTCAAATAGCTGCCACTACGTGGACACACACCTATGCAACAACCAGTTTTCTAGAAGCAGAGTCTGTTCATGCCACCTAGCTAAGGAGAAGCAACGGTGTGTTACATGCAGTATTTTTTCTTTAATTTGCACCAAAGAGCTACGTTTTTCTTTCTCTTTTTGCTTTGGTCACTGTTTATTCCTGTGTTTCTTTAAGCACGGAGACTCTCCCCTTTTATGACTGGAACATTTATTATAGACCAGTGAAATCCCATCTGGAAAAGCTCTCCAACTTGCCTGTGGGTAACGTGCCCTTTCTTCTTGTCCCATGGTACTTGGTTTGTCACTTGCTGTTCTATTGTCACCCCATCTCAGAACCTGCAGATGTCAATGATAAGAGCAGCAGAAGGTGCTGAGTTGACGTTTAGTGAGAGACTGTGACAGCAGCTCTGCCAAAAAGGATTGAAAGAACACGGAAATCAATGTCAAAGCAGAGTTAGGACAAATGCTTTTATGTAAGAAGGCATGGTACCTGGTACTTGTTTGCATATATACAAAATGCAGCTAATGGCTGATGTAAGCTGATAGAAAGAACACTGTTCAGATGTTGCTGCCAGAAATGAATGCCAAAGTCTTTAACACGGTGATGAAAAAAAAATTTTTTATCTGCAAAATCTTGGCAATTTTAGGTGCATATTCAGTTTTCTGGGAACATCAGAGATATTTCAAAGGAGCTTTCCCTTCTGGAGTTTTCTGTTCCAGTTGGTCTTTATGTGTTACTTATCTGAGTCTTGTGTGTATTAAAATAGAGATGGCCAGATAGATTATGAGTGCATGGTCTGATAAATGTAGCCCTGTTTTTCAGCTCTTGGCATCATTTGTGATCTCTGTAAATGTGTCTCTTATTTGTAGGAGTTTGACAAACAGATTTGAGAACAACTTTCATTCTGAGTGGTGTTCGTGAACTATTCAACTTCCACTTTTTGCAATTTGTGGGATAGGATGGCCAATGGGAGTTCGCAATCCGAGTCCCAAGATGTTGTTTCTTCTCCTTGATTGGAGGATCTAACCTTTTTAAACCTCAAGACAAAAAGTAAAAAAAATAAGTAGTGAATAATGCACCAAACCATCATCTGGAATCTGAATAATTTATTAACACTGTCTCTCTTCTTCATGCCCCATTAATCAGCCAAAGCTAATATTCATTAAATATTAGAGGTCACGGTTTTTTCAAAATTGCTCACCACCCAACAGCTCCCACTAAGAAAAATGGGTACTCCCCCTGTAGAGAGCAATGGGAACTTCTGGGTGCTGTAATCTTTTGAAAATCCATCCCTAGATAAGCAATTTCTAGTGGGAATGTCTTACTAGATGTCATTAGGAGCAGTCCCTTTTGGAGCCATTCAGCAACTCATTCAGTTCTGCCCCCTCTCTTGTCATTTGTCACTGAGTGATCTCACAATAGACTTAGCTCACATGGCTCTTGTGAAGTTCAGTTAATGTTTGTCCACAACTCTGAGCATGAAAAATTCTCCATAAATGCTAAACATTATCATAATAAAATCTATGACAGCCAATCAGGTTTCTAGGTGGAGGGTTATTACTCACTGAAAACAGTTAAAACCTGAAACTTTAGCCAGTCAAAAACCAATTTTCTGATTAGCTGAAGGGGCGGTTAGGGCGCTAGCCTGCGACTTGGAAACTTTAGTTCATTTTCTTGTTCATCTCATGTGTGACCTTGGGCAACTCACTCAGGCCCAGATCCTCCAAGGTATTTTGAAGCCTAGCTCCCACTGGAATAACCCAAGTGCTGTGTTCAAACCTTGTGTGGTAAACAAGAGAAGAGTAACACTGGACTTTTTTGGGGGGATAGGGGAGGGGAACTGCCTGCAGGCTGACAAGGACAGCCAGGTCTCCGAGTGGCTAGTATGAAATCAATAGGAGCCTGAATACCTTGGAGGATCTGGGCCTGAATCTCACCGTATTTCAGCTCCCACACTGTACAATGGGGATAGTACTACTTATTTACCTCACAGGCACGTGGTGAGGATAAACATATTAAAGTTTGTGGCGTTCTCAGATACTGTGGTACTGAGGGTCATCAAAGGGCCCTACATAGGACTTTATTAATAAACACCTCTTTCCAAAAATTTTATTTGAATAGCTGCACTGCTCTTCTTCCAACTGGCTACAGTCGGGGTCATTTCCTAAAGTGGACCAGGGTCAGACCTGCAGCATGTGTAAGTCGACACGGCTCCACTGAAATCAGTTGGTGCGAATCAAGGTAGTTCCTTTGAAATCGAGGGAACTCGATTTACACCAGCTAAGAATCTGGATCCTAGTCTCTACAGCCAGTCTATAACGCTACAGTGAGCCACCATACACTGTAGCTGCAGCAGCGTGAATCAGAGCAGAGGATTACATCTACATCAGTCATCTGGCCTAATAAAAATGAAATCATTGTGAGGGAACATTATCGCTGGATCAATGTCTGGTTTTTGCCTCAGCAGGGGACCTGTGGCAACAGCCTATTCCATGCAATTCAAATTAAGAGATAAAATGTCATTCTGCTCTTTGTGTGTTAGAATAATTTTTTTTAAGTATTGGTGCATTTAAAAAAAAGTTCAATTATCCTATCATTGCAGACATTACTGCCTGGTGGTTTCCCTTGACATCCATTACATCCATTATGTTTTTGACTATCAATTATCCAGTGGTAGATCCTAATGAAGGGGTCTGTTCCTTAAGTAACTGACAGACTTTATTGCTGAGAGTATTTCAGTAAATTAGAAATCAGCAACACAAGCTGCCATTGCAAAGCTTTTGTTTTAACAGTGTGAGCTGTTTTACATATCTCACTTTCCTCCTTTTCATTAGGCATTTGAGAGCCAAGCTTGTTCTAGGGAAGTGGGCATTAAAGAGAGTGATTATAATGGACATGAGCAGAGTGCAGGGAGCCCAAGGGAAAGTCAATATGCAGCTGCAAAGAGGGAGTCCTTTACCTCTGTGCAAAGAGCTTCTTGTCTCAGAGTTGTTCAGACACTGATTTGCTTCCTTCTATTACACAGTTAAGCTTCTGATCAAATATGTCCACACCTGGATGCTTAAAAGTTAGTCAACTAGATCTATATTTAGGCCCCTAAATAAAGGGTTTACAGAGCTGCTGAGCACCTGTCAGAAGGAGACATGGGATCTTAGGGCATTTGAAAATCAAGCAGCATGTGTAGGGGCTTAAATATGGATTCAGGTGCCTAAGTTTAGTCACTGGGGTGTGACAGTGCCTCTCTGTCTCTGTTTTTCCATTATACCAGACTGTAAACAGATGGGAAGGGCATGTGGCTTGGGTTAAAATTCCCATTGTGCTACTGTGATTTCAAGACATGTTTTCTTGACTATTATTTAGTGGCTCCATGGAGCTTGGCACAGAACATTACCATCTGTAAGACATACCACATGGGCATGGCAACCTACAGAAGACACAGATCCTTAAAGTTATTTAGACACTTAACTTCCATTAAAATGGATAGGAATTAAGGGCCTACATATCTTTGAGGATCTGGGCCTTGGTCTCTTGTCCTGAGCTGCTCTCTGGGTACACATGTGTTTTTATTTTTATTTTTACATATCTGGTTCATAAACACATAAAAACAAAGGATCACATCGCCAGGCTCAAGCAAAGTATCTTTGCATCTTGTTCAGGTAGCTCCTTTCTTTGCAGAAAGCTCAGGCTGCTCCCCAATCAAATGGAGAATGAGCGCCACCTTATGGAAAGCACAAGGAGTTTCTCTCCATCTAAAGATTTGTGCTGGTTCCTTCCTGGTGGCCTGATTCTCCACTCCCTTGCTGCTTGTGCAGTCGTTTACACCTGTGTAAAGCACTGCGAGGCAATGGAGAATCAGGGTGATAAGGTGTTTGTTCTGTGATGAAGGAAGAATGGAGTCAAATGAAATCTGTAGCTTTCTTGCTGTATCAATAAATACCTTGTTAGTAGATCACAGGGAGGCAGTGGCTACTTGTCCTGCCAAACTCCAAAGGGTTTCAAAAGTAAAGTCAGACTGGAATAGAGGACAGGAAAATCAGGGAAGCAAGTGCTGAGGAGGAATGAATCCTGCATTATGTGCCACTCACGGGCTTCATTCTGTAGATTTACTCCACAGAGAGAGTGAAACTGGACTAGGGAAAGGAAGCAGCATTAGGTCACTTCTGATCGCATCCCCAACTCACAGTGAAGCCCAATTCAAGCCACCGTCTCAAAACCAAATCCATGGCTCAGCGTCTGAATAGGTCAAGGGTACGGAATCATTTACTGGCGGCTAACTGACAGACACCACCTGGGAGCTTTAAACAGTGTCTCCTCTGCTTTTTCTTTGAAACCCCAGCAATAATGTATCAGCATCCAAAGCACTGTCTGCAGCAGAGCCCTCTTGATGTCTGTTTCCAGTTTCTGGCATAGCCTATAAAATAAAACTCCAGAAGACGTAACAGAGGCAGAGTAGTGCCCTCGTGTGGTCGTCTGTGGCTCTTTCCAGGGACTGATTTCCCGCTCTGTTTTCCTTGTTAGTGATTTGGTGTTTGAGTCCCCTCCATGTATGAATCAATTTTGTAATTGTCCCTTCTTTTCATTTTATTTTAAAACTGTATTGACTCTCTTTACACAGCATGCTCCCACTAAGCAATTGGCACTGTAGGGACTAACTACAGGGTTCTGAGCAGGCCTGTGAAAATTATTCTTGCATTAAACATATCATCCTAGTACTCACACAATAGCTACCAAAACAACATGAGATCTACTTTCAAATACAGCGCAGTTCTGTAGTTACTGATGGTATATTCCCAAAAGTTACATAATGTCACAATAATCGACTCCCCTCCCACCGGAAAACATCTGAAAGCCCAGTTTAAACAAACTACAGACTCTACAGGGTGAATTCTCTTGAACACCAGTGATTTCCTGTAAAAGACTTTTTCCCTCTCTGTGGGGCAGGTGGAATGCTAATGTCCAGGCCTTTTGACTGGAACAGAGCTACTTACTGAACTTCTTCCATCCCTGGCTTCTCCGAGACCACTTGACCTCCTCCTTGAGAGAAGAGGAAGGAGAAGAGAGGGGACAGTTACACCGTCCTTCTCTGCATACTTTTGACCATATGCACAATGGGTCGACTAAGCCAACATGCTTTCCTTCATATCTTATGTTCTTTAATAATACAGACCAGGCCTGTGAGAATATCTGTTGGGAGGTTAAGACAAATGGCAGTTTGGTGGGGCAGAAGGTGCAGGGACACGGCTGTGGTAGAGACTTGATGTCCTCCTGGTAATGCACTTGCGTCTTCATTCTGGGGCTGGTTTAAGAGAAATGTGTTCTCTTTCTTGGTTTGGGCCTATTAGCATGACTATATAGACTGAGAAGTTCAAAGGGACAGTGAGTGAGGCAAGCAGAGTTTGGCCTTCAGTTTGTATGAATACCAGGGTGCTCAGGCTTTTCAAAATATGTTGACTGAACTTCCATTAAGAGATGGTCTTGTGGACCCCTCTGCCCCCTGCCCATTCCCCATGCAAGCTGCCACCTCCCATTAACAAACTGTTTTGGTCAATAAAGGAATAATTGGCCTATAGGGGAAGTTTATTCATCACCCTCATCAGTTAGTAGCATGTGTGTACATATGTAGCGCTTCTGTCTCTAGACAGATGGACCATTTCCTAAGGGAGGAGAGAAGTTATTAAAATGGATCCTCTGCTATTTCAGAAAATGGCTGGGAAAGGCCTTGGGGACAAATATCACTGATGATGTCTTCATGGTTAAACATCCTAAACTACCTCTTGTCCTGTTTCTTGCTTGTTTTACACTGTGTGGGCCTTATTCCCCTCCAGCGTGCATCAGGTTCACATGGATGTAACTCCATTGGTATCAGGGGAGTAACTCCTGATTTACATCAGCACAGGTTAGAAGACATTCAAGCCCTATGTATAGACCTCTTCTCTCCCTGCTCAGCTACAATTTTGGACTAGGGCATGGGCATGAAACATTTACTGGTGGTTGTGAAGAGTCAGCAAATCATAGTAAAGAGATGGCCCAGTGCTTAGGGTGCTAGCCGGCAACGGGGTTCAGTTCGCTGCTCTGCTACAGACTTCCTGCGAGACAGTGAGCGAGATGCTTAGTCTGGCCAGGCCCCAGTTCCCCGTCAGATAAACAGGAATAACAGCACTTTCCTACCTCACAGGGGATTTTGTGTGTAAATGTATTGAAGATTTAGAAGGTGCTTAGATCCTATGGTATTGAGGGCCAATATGTACCCTGGGTAAGTAAGGACCCTTGCTCTCTTCTAGGCACCAAGTAACTCGAAAGGTTTGCTTGGGCTGAGCAAGGCTTAGATGAGATTTATTTGCTGCCAATGCATTAGGATATCTCTGTGTCCTCCAATCAGGAGTCAGGAGTCACGGGCCATATGGGGAAAAATTGATACATGAATTGCAAAGTCAGCTCACATTCCAGCTAGGGTAACAAGAGTGTGTCTGAAGAAGTGGGTTTTGTACCCACAAAAGCTTATGCCCAAATAAATCTGTTAGTCTTTAAGGTGCCACCGGACTCTTCGTTGTTTTTGTGGATACAGACTAACATGGCTACCCCTGTGATAAGAGTGTGTTTATTCCCACCCCTCCCCACCCCCAGTGCTGGTCCTCTGTTGTTGGCCTACACAAACTTTCCCAGGCCCCCTGGGGAGTTACCTGCTTCTCTGGAGGGGGCTGTCTTGGACATTCAATCAAAACACTGTGCAGCAGTTTGAGAAGAGGACATCTCCATTAATACTGCTTTCACACTTCTCTCCTCAGTCGGGTTAGTGGGTGAGGTCTTTTTCTTCCCTCATTACAGACTGAGGCAAAGGAATTATTCCCACTGGTGAGAAGGCTGGACATGGAGTTAAGGCACTGGAGTTGAATGGGGGTTCAATTCCCTGGTTTGCTAGACATCCTTAACCCTCCCCATCTTTAAAAATGGTATGACCCTTGTCTTTTCAGATAGTGAACTACTCTGTTTCTTACTATGCATCTGTGCAGAAGCCAGCACAATGGGTCCTGATCTCAGCTGGAGTCTCTGGGTGCTACTTGGACAACGGATAAATAATATTAGTACAGTAGTGGCTGATTGCGCCTCCTCCCCTCAAAATATGACTTCCTGGAGAAATAAAGCAAGGCTGGAAACGTTGGGGGAAAGGATTCCCTGTCATAAATTGTCCTCTTTTCCCATGTCATCTTCATTATCATCAGAATCTTAGGGCAGTGCTGGGTTGTGTATTTTCTGTATGGAGCATGAAACCAGCTGAAGGTGAAAGTAATAAACAAAGACCCTGATTTCCAAGCATGAATTGCGTGTGTATAGATCAAAACCTAGAAGTTCAGCAGTAAAACTTTAGCACTCCAGCAGCTTGAGTGGGTCCTGTATTTACCGGTTGCAATTGGGAATCCCCTGAGCATGCTGTTGCACCTTTCTCTGTCTCATTAGCATTACCATGGGGGATGTGTCCGAAGCTTCCAGGCTTCTTCCCCGTCTCACACCAGTATGAATGGCAATCCTTGGGGCTTTAACTCCCCATCTTTTCTGTCCACTGCGGTGGTTTTTAGGCCCCAGCTACGGTCTCGGTTCAGGTTTGGACACAAGAGGGCGCTGTCGAGCTATTGCAGGCGCAGGGCAGTTTATGGAAAAGACCTGGCAGCTGAGACAAAGAGCTGGTGCAGGAGGAGGCGAGATGTTGGGAACGCTCTGTCCACTTTGTGTGCGGGATCAGGTACAACACACTAAATCAGTGGGCCTCCTTTGTATTTACAGAAGGGCTTTGGCTAAAGCAGATCCACACCGGGGTGGGGGAGAAATTGTGTAGATTCCTGTGTCCACTTTCATGTGAGTGTTTTACTGTAAAGACTTTTAACCACCCCCCAAGGATTTGCAAACAGGCTAATGTTTGTTTAGGGTGAAGGGGGAAATCAAAGAGGACTGATTCTCTGTGCAGTAGTGGGTCACTGGGAACAAAGAACGTGTGGTGGTGCACAAAGGAAATGGACCTCTGGCTCTGGGACAGACTCAGGGAGGGGAAATAAGAAGGTATCGTGCCCTTTGTGGGGATTTCAACATGCACGGCCCAATCCCGGGCTATTGAATCAAGTGCCAGGTTTGCTACTGGCTTCAATCCAACCAAGCCCGAACAGCAGGGAGCTATGTGTTTAGTTCGGGGCTAGAAATTCTTCTCTCTTCGCTGGCACTGGCTTGCCCTGTGATCTTGGGTAAGTCCTTTGGCCCAGCTCCTAAAGAGTATTCCGTTACCTAACTCCCACAGTCAGGCACCTAAATACCTTTTGAGGATCTGGGCCTTTGCCTCCTTCTGGATGGACCCATCTGTAAAATGGAACCAAGGCTCGGGGGCTAGGAATAAATCCGGGTCAGCCTCCGCTCCTTCTTCCTCTATGAATAATATCTGCGGGGGGGACGGCTTTAATTGACCTGCAGCGTCTAACCTGCTGGGGCAACGGACGAGCTAGGGGAGAGGAAATTGCTCCTTGGTCCACACGTCCTCAGCTGCTGTAGATGGGCTCCAGTGAGGTCCGGGCTGTGCCGGGCTTGGGAGCAGCGGAGTCAAGGCTGGGCGCCAGCAGCTAGAGCGCCGGGGTGAAATGAGGTTACCTCAAGTGTAAAGGCAGAGGCCCCGCTCCCAAGACAAAACAGCTGTGACAGCCGCTTCTGATTAACTCATGGGGGTAAAGAGGATTCAGGTGGGAGGCTCGCAGGTTCTCGGCCAATCCTCCCCACGCGGGAGGCTCTAATCCTGGGGAAGCACCTGGCATGGGAAAGCGGTCTCTGGCTCTGAACCAGCTGTGGGCCCTTGGGTGGTATGGGGGGGGAAAGATGCATTTTCTGCCTCCTTAGGCTGGTGGCATCTCTTTGGCATAACCACTCTGCCAGGAAGTGCGGCAACCGCACCTTCAGGGAGAAGGCTAGAGCCCCCTCTCTGCAGGACTTACTACCGGTGAGTTGGTCAAGGCGTCCGGCCTGTGTCAGAGATGCGAG